TCCCTCCCTCCCTCCCTCCCTCCTTCATTCCTTCTTTCGTTCTGGCAGATTCTTACTCTGTTGCCCAGGCTAGAGTGCAGTGGCATGAAGCTCACTACAGTCTCCAATTCCTGGGCTCAGTGATCCTCCTGCCTCAGCCTCCTGAGTATCTGGGACTACAGGTGCGTCCCACCATGCCTGGCTAATTTTTTACTTTTTGAAAAATTGTCTTTAGAGTTGGGGTTTTGCTATGTTGCCCAAGCTTGTCTTAAACTCCTGGCCTCAAGTGATCTTCCTGCGTCGGCCTCCCAAAGTGCTGGGGTTACAGGTGTGAGCCACAGTGCCAGCCAGGTTTCTTTTCTGATGTTGCATCGACATGTGGACCATTTCCATCTTTAGTCTGTCAGTCATATAGTAGGAGCTCAGTACATATTTAGAGAAAGCATGGATGAAAATTTATCACCTTGTCCTTGTTAAAAAAGGGACTGTGGCGGATAGGGATAAAGAAATCAATAGAGTACCACTCTGGGAAGGTGTGCTCCCAGAAGGGCCAAACAAGGCAAAATCAGTAAGTCCCCATGCAATAAAGTGTTCAGTTGCCTGGTCCAGACCATATGTGTAGTTGAAACACAGAAATGGGAGAAATCCACGTGGCTAGATGAAAGGGCTTCATGGGGAGGGACTGGAGTGGGGGTGGGTCTGATGCGTGATCGCCTGGCATTTTATTGGAATGGACTCCTACATTTCAGCTAAGGCCTGGTGCTTGGGTTCCCCTTTGGTGGGGAGAAGATGGTAGCTAGTGGCTTAGCTTGTGAATAATCTAGAAGCCTCCTTGTCCCACATCCTATGGGAGCTTAGTTCTGGCTTTATCATGGCTACTTGCAGCCCACCTCCATGTTGGGGCCTGACTATATCCCCTTGGCTCCTTCTGGAGGGAGACCTTTAGCCAAAACAAACAGTGAAGTATTTGAAAGTATTCTCTGAATGTTCTGGAGGTCAGAAGACTGAAATCAAGGTGTGGGTAGGGCCATGCTCTTTCTGAAGGCTGGAAGGACTCTGTTGCATGCCCTTATGCCTTTCTGTTAGCCTCAGTGTTGCTGTAATCCTTGGCCTTCCTTGGCTTATAGACGCAGCACTCCAGTCTGTGTCTCCGTCATCACATGGTATTCTCCCTGCGGTCTGTGTCTCTTCTCCTCTTCTTATAAGGACACCTTATTGGATTTAGGGCCCACCCTAATCCACTGTGACCCCATCTTAACTTGATTATGTCTGCAAAGACTCTATTTCTAAGATTACATTGACAGGTCCTGGGGACTAGGACTTCTACATATTTGCGAGGTGATACAATGCAACCCATGACAGATTTTGTTTTGTTTGCCTCCAAATCCCATCTACCGATTAGAGTCTCTTTCCCCTGTCAGCCTACCTTTCAGGTCTCTGGAGGTCTGGGATATGAGTGGAGACCTCCTCCCGCCAGACCTCATAGCACCTTCCCTCTGCAGGTTGCAGGATGGGACAAAAGTGGGTTTTGACATTTGAGACTGAGTCTTCTTCTGCAAGGGGTGAAGGCTTGGTTGGAAATGCTTCTTCTCCCCGTTTGGGGGCTGGGTGGTGAAGAAGTAGAGGGTGAACTGATGGGTGAGAGGGAGGGTAGAGACAACTGAAGATTTCCTTCTGTTTCCTGTGGAAGACAACGCTGCTTTTCCAGAGGTGCAGAATGATGGTTCTGGGAGGACCTTCAAGGACTGTAGCTCTCCCTCCCTCACAGGAGCAGGCGGCCGTGCCAGAAAGGGCATTTGTCTTATTGCCGAGCTCTGGATTTGAGTCCTGGCTCCATTGCTCAGTGCCTCTGGGCTCTTGGGCAAGGTTATTCAGCTTCTCTGAGGCTCAGCTTCCTGGTCTGTATCATGGGATAATAATAACAACTGCTTGTCAGAGTGTGAAGATTAAATGATAAAAGATGGATGTGAAAGTACCTTTTTAAAAAAATCATTGTGGTAAAATACACCTAACCGAAAATGTACCATGTTGACCATTTGTAAGGGTATAATTCAGAGGCATTAAGTAATTAGTTCACAATTAAGTAATTAAGGCATTAATTCACATTGTTGCACAGTCTTCCCCACCATCTATCTACAGAACTTTCTCATCATCCCAAATGGTGAAATTACCTCTTAAACTATGAATGAAAGGTAGTACTTTTTTGTTAATTTGATAAATAAAAAAACCCCAAGTTCCTGAGAAGCAAGGGACTCACCCCCACCCTCTGCCGTTCACCCAGTGAGCTGGGGCAGAGCTGAGTTGAGAATCTGGTCCCCAACTCAGTCTGGTGCTCTTGACCCTTCTATCAGCGGCAGGAGCCTGGGACACACAAGTCCTCACTGGAGCCAAATCTCTCCAGAGGCTTTCTCCTTCTCTCAGAACTATCCCCAGGACTGTGAGGTCACTGGAAAAACTGGAATTTGTCCAGAGGCAGATGCCCTCAGGCCTGCATGGGGTGGGGGCTTTCTCAGTGGGCACTAGCACCTTTGTGTGGGGAGCCTGTATTCTCTCTCCTCGCTCAGGCTGTCTCAGTCCTTCTCAACCTCTTGTCTCTCTCTCCCTCCATCTGTTCCTTTCTCAGATGGAATAGAGCTCCAATGGAGAGCCAGGAAGAACTGAATTTGGGGTGAATGTGGGGATGGCTTTGTGAGGTTCCTTATCCTGTGCAAAGAGGACAGGCGTGGGAGCCAGTGACCTGGGTTCTGGTCCTTTGGCAGCGGGCTTGTCAAGTTACCATAGAAGTCTCACTGAGCATGTGGTTGTTGAGGTCCTACTATGTGCCAATCATTGGGAAATGCCTGTGGATGGACCTTATTACTGCTGCTTGGAGTGGTTGTGAGACACAGCGGATATGATACAAGCGGGCCATGTGGCAGGGGGCACTCACTTATAGGAGGTGGTGATTGTCTCTTGACGTGGTGGGTAGGGAAGCATCCTCCCCCAGCTCAGGCTGATGGTGACATCCATGGCCACTGTGCTGGGGCGGAAGGAAGAAGGGATGGGGATTGCCACATGTGTTCAACTTGGGTGTCCTGGGCGCCATGGAACCTCCAATATCCAGGTCTGGAGCTGGAGATGGGGACAGGCCTGGGTCAGACAGCATCTGCCTTCAAGCAGCTGGTGGCTGAGGGGGCAGCACGGAGCTGCACTCTAGGAGTTATGACACAGTCTCATAGATGCTGACAGAAAGGAATGGGCAATGGCATATTATGGTCACCAGTGGCAGGGAAAACTCATTCTGCCTGGTGGAACCAGAGGAAGGGTGGAGGGGAGGCAGGGGAGCCTTTGCTGTAACTTGACCCAGTCAGAAATACTCATGGCCTGTCTCACCATAAAGAGACTCTTTAGCCGGGCTCGGTGGCTCAGCCTGTAATCCCGCGCCTTTGGGAGGCTGAGGTGAGTGGATTGCCTGAGCCCGCGGGTTCGAGACCCGCCTGGGCAGCGAGACCTCATCTCTACAGTAAATCAAAAAATCAGCCGGGCGTGGTAGCGCATGCCTGTAATCCTAGCTACTCGGAAGGCCGAGGCGGAAGGATCGCCGGAGCCCAGCAGGCGACGCTGCGGTGGCCGGGAGCGGCCACTGCACTCCAGTCTGGGCGACAGAGTGAGACTCCAACTCAAAAAAAAAAAAAAAAGGGACTCTTTAAAAAAAATTTTCCTGGCCACTGGCTCCTTTTACTGTCAGACAGATCCTATGAGGTAGCCAGGACAGGGATTATCGTACCTATTTTGCAGGCAGAAAGAGAGATATTTTGAAGGACTTGGGCAAGTTCATCTAGGAGTGTGGCCGAGTGGAAGGCGAAGCCCAGGTTTCTTGTCTTGGCCCCAGGCATTCTCTGAAGACCCATCCAGGTTGTGTTCCTCTGCCTGAAAGAGCCATTTAGAGCAGCTAGTTTCTATGCTGTTTGGGGTCTTGTTTATCTGTCACTGGGTTTTTTTTTTTAAAGCTCTTCAATGTGCCCAGCTCTTCAGGAAGTCCTTGTCCTAAAGATAACCACAGCCCGAGGCCCCCCCAAGACTGGGTTCCCCCCACTTTCCTCCCCTCCCTCTTCCTGGCTTCCTCTGCATTGGGGAGTTAGGGAGTTACAGGAAGGCGGTACCCTGCCACCGGCTTGGCAGAAGGGGCAGAAGACAGCCAGACTAAACTCCTGTTTTCTCCGTTGGGTCTCTTCCCGCCACCAGGTCCCGACTGGCAGACTTCCATGCCAGTTGTCGAGCCTCCTCCCAGACGGTCACCAGCTGCCCTGCGGACAACTACCAGGCGTGTCTGGGCTCCTATGCTGGCATGATTGGTAAGCTCCCCGCTGCATGCTGGGGCTCGAGGTGACTCCTTGCCACCTCCATCTCAGCAGGGCAGGGGCTGCGGCCCAGCTCGGGCCACCCAGGGGTGACAGCCTGAGCCCAGCCTTCCCTGAGGCAAATTCAGCTAGAGTTGTGGCAAACCAGAGGGAAAGCCAGCTCTGTAACAAAGAGGAAGGCCCCAGCTCTTTCTCGTGGGAGGGAGCAGGGCCCCAGGGACCTTATAAGGCTTTTGAAATAAGAAGAAAAGGTGCCGTGTATTGACGGTTCTGACATTCCAGCACTGCACCAAGCAGTTGTTTACAGGGGCTGTCTTACTGAATTTTCCCAACAGCTCTTACTAGGGGGTGTTGATATCTCCATGTTATAGATGAGGAGACTGAGGTATAGAGAAGGTGAATAACTTTTGCACAGGCCCACATCACTGGTAAATATGGGTGCTGGAATCTCAATCCAGGGTGTAAGCTCTGATTCTAGAATATTCACTGCTTGTTGGTGAAGGAGAGAGCAAGGGTTCACACTATGGGAGGGGTTCCAGGCATCTTCTCTGTCCTTCTGGTGGGAGGAGCTCAGAATCCTCTGTGGCTCTGATCGCTCCGCCCCCTGCTGACCCCATGATCACTGGGACAGTAATACTCAGAGTTAGGTCTGTGATCGAGATGTTTGTGTGTTTGGGGGGTGGGTGGATGGGTGGGTGCTAAGCCTCTGTCCTGCTGTGCCTGGGGTCTGTAGGCCCAAAGAGAAGGCCCTAGTTATCCTCTCTCCTTTCCCTCCCTTTTCTCCCTGCCCAGGGTTTGATATGACACCCAACTATGTGGACTCCAACCCCACTGGCATCGTGGTGTCCCCTTGGTGCAGCTGTCGTGGCAGTGGTAACATGGAGGAGGAGTGTGAGAAGTTCCTCAGGGACTTCACTGAGAACCCGTGCCTCCGTAAGTCCTGGAACATCCTCCCCATCCCCAGAAGCCCCATTTGCCCCTCCTGGGGTCTATCATATCCATTCTTTTCTCCTTCCCTTGGGATGAACAGTGATCTGTAGGGGCTTCTCCACCATGGGTGTTGCCTACCTTGAGTTTTGAACTCTTGAAGATGTATACCAGAACTGTCAGTAGGCCAGCCTCAGTTTACTACCAGAGGCCTTGAACCTATGTCAAGTGGAGAATGAAGGTTTCTGTTATTCTGATAGCTTCAGCCAGCTTCCTTTGGGGACTGACCCCTCTCCTGAGGATCTCAGACATCTGTCAATTCTCCCTGTCTATTTTCCCTTGAAATCAATGACTTTCTATGTCTTTCTAATCCAAAGACTAGAAGGAGGTTAGCCACAGTCAAGATCAGGCTCTCTTTGATCTTTCCAATGTGACACCCATTGCCACCCATGTCTACCTGAAGATTTCTTCCCTCTTTCCTTCCCACTTTTATTCCTTCTGTCCATCCGTTCATCCATCCTTCCTTCCTTTCTGTATGGCAGTGGAGATTCAGAGATCCTGGTCACAGTGCCTGTCATTGAAGATTGTCTGATGGAGGTAAACTGAGGGGTCACCAGTGATCATAGTATGGAATGAACAGTCTGAGGGTGGAGGTCTGCACAGGATTCTCAAGGAGCCCAGAGTGGGAATGTCCAAGTCCACCAGGAGGAGAGAGGCCTTGAAAGTTTCTCAGCGGCTGTATCCATTGATGGGTAATGGTATTGGTCAGTTGCAGAGGCAGGGATCCACCCTGGGCTGAGGATCAGGGCTTCACGGGGGCCATGGTGGGTGGAGGGAACTTCCAACCACATAGTCTTGTTACATAGCATCGATGATGACCAGAGTGACAGTTATTTGCACCCTCCTCACAAAGGGCCTTACAGACCCGAAGGTGTTTGAATCCTCCTGTCTTGCAGGTGGCGATGGTGGTGGCATGGGTCTTTGAAAGGATGTCTGCAGGGGGTATTGAGATCAGATCAGTGGCCCAGAAAGCAGATCTGCCTGTGGGCAATGGGGGTCAGAGATATGATTGTGACATGTGTCTCAACATAGAGAGTCCCATCAGAAGGTCGTAGTAGGGTATGCATGGGGGAGGACAGTGACAACTGTGAGCCAGAGCTGTGGGAGGGGGACATGGGGTGACAGTTAGGGGTGGAGAGATCTTGAGAAGGTGGGCTTTAGGAGTAGACTGCCAGTGGATGTTTAGGGAGGCACCGTGGGTGATCCCCAGGATTCCGACATGGGGGCCTCGGGTTGTTAGAGATGACACCTTCAAGCCTGGCACGACAGAGGAAAGGAGCGTTGGCAGTGGCAGGAAGAGATGCCTGCAGGCTCAGACGTGGTGACTTGAGGTGCATATGGAACATGGAGGTAGAGGTTTTTTAGATACTTCTCTTGATGGCATGGAGGAGGGGAGGCCACCCAGGGAAAATACATGGTGTGGAGAGGGGAGAGACTGTATCTGGGACTTTTGGTCAGTAAAGTTGAATTCAGTAGAGTGGATGTGCCACACTTTGTCCTCGCTTCTGGGCTGTTCCAGAGAAAAGAGTGGTCGGGGAAGGAGCAGGGGCAGAATGCCGGCTGTGGGACCTGGATGTATCTGAGGTGGCACAAGAGCTGGAAGTGCCTGTGACTAGGAGCTGGGGATGGGGAGCTGTCGAAGTAAGGTGTGGTCTGCAGTGCTGTGCAGAGGAGATGGTCCCTCCTCCCTCTGAGCCCCTCTATGCCTCCTGTTTCCTTCTTTTCTGCCTCTCCTTGTCTATACTCCTCCTTACACACATGTTTTTCTATTCTGGCTTCTCTGTCTTTTCCAACCTTCCTCTTGCTATTTCCTTTTCTAGATGTGGGACCTTTGTTCAGTAAAGTTGAGTTCAGTAAAGTGAATGTGCCACACTCTATCCTGGCTTCTGGGCTGTTCCAGGGAAGGAAGTGGTCAGGGCAGGAGCAGGGGCAGAAGTGCTGGACGTGGGTCCTGATTTCTCTCATCTTCTCCCCTACCCCCATCCCAGGGAATGCCATCCAGGCCTTTGGCAATGGCACAGATGTGAACGTGTCCCCTAAGGGCCCCTCGTTCCAGGCCACCCAGGCCCCTCGGGTGGAGAAGACTCCTTCTTTGCCGGATGACCTCAGTGATAGCACCAGCCTGGGGACCAGTGTCATCACCACCTGCACATCTGTCCAGGTGAGGGGGCATGGCTGAGGGTCTGGGAAAAGGCACTGGGATGCCAGAAGTGGCTGGGAAGTGAGTCAACTGGGGCTGGGGAGGGAGTGCTGAAGGTCCTCCCTTTAGATCAGGGACCCAAGGCGCAAGGAGGAGCTGGTGGGGGTAGCTCTCCACCTGTTCATTTATTTAGGCACTCATATTACAAGTATTAAACCCTTGTTTCTTCACGGCATTGTACTAGATACCATGGGGATGCAAGAGAAATGTAATGCCTACCATTTATAAACTATCTGTTAATTACCAGAGGGTGTACCAGTAGCCTCTCTACCTGTCTCACTGAATTCCCACACAATGAGGTGTTGCTCTTTTTGTTTTACACACAAAAAACTAATCTAGAGGTGTTAGGTGACATATCCAACACCACACTGCTGGTTAATGGTGGAATAAGATCTCAAACCCACATCTGAATCCAAAGTCTATGATATTCATTTGTTTAGCCATCTGTTAATCCATCCATCCACCCACCCATCCACCCATCCACCCATC